AGCATTCATGGATAAATTGGACTTTGTCATTTCTTTTATTCTCTTACATACACAGACCAAGGAAGTTGATCTCCTAACAATTATGCTGCTTAAATGTTAAGTATCTTGAGTTAGAATATATATAAAATTCTGTAATCTTACTTACTGTTGGAAATTCCTTTTATTAAAAGGATGTTGAGGTGTGTCCGTGTGGGAGGGAGTATTGAAATAAGAAAACATTTAAAACCCTTTCCCTATAGGAGCTGATGCTTGAATAAATTGATAATTTGACTCATCCTGTTCATGTGCTTCATATCACATTATTTTGGCCTCATCAGATGTGACACATAATTTGACTGTATAAACTACTGTGACAGAATGCATAATGCCTGGTCAAATATTGAAATGAGGAAGAGAGTTTTCAAATCCACAGTTAGTGTAGCATTACATTGTTTTGATAAGGATTTTCCTCCTTCCTTCTGCAAGGAAATGGGTAGATGGAATATTTTTCACATGCATTCATATTCTCCTAGCATCTTTTCTTGCCTCTGTATTATCAGGACCTGAACTTGTAGTGGGTCCTGAACCTGGAAGATGTCAGGTGATGAATCAGCTTGCATGCTGTCCAGGTGATTTGAGCTAAAGGAAGGAAGGAACTGTATGAAGGTGGCCAGATCAACAAGGAAGTCTCCTAACATCATGAGGATAGGCTTGCTTGTCCTTCTGAGCAACAAGGGAGTCTTCCAGTCCTATCTTCTGAGAGACTGTCCTTGTCCCTCCCTGTGCCGTGCTTCTCTCCAACTTGACATTGTGTTGTGGTTAATCCAGAAAAGGCATAGAAGAGAAATTGTAAAAAATGATCTAAGGAACAGAGCAGCCCTGGTGATGGAGTTCTAGCAGTTGACCTGACCATAAAACCAACCACAGCAGTATAGATGACTATAGAGAAGAAACGTTACATCTCAATTTTCCATGGATTGTTAGAAAGGCAGCCGTTAAACTGCCTGAAGTGCCTGATCCTGTCTAATCTGAGCAGCTAAGTGGGTTCACGCCTGGTTAGTATTCGGATGGGAGACTTGAGCCCTGCACTAGCAGGGGGTTGGACCTTATGGCCTCCTAGGCCCCCTACAACTGTTCCACTCCACTCCACTCCACTGAGATGGATATAGGAGATCTTGTAATTTCCCCTAAAGCTGTGGGTTTTCATTTGCTTGTAAATGAAGGCTAAAATATCTTGAATGAGTATTTTGGATGAATGCCTGCCCAGAGTCCCTGTACCATGCAAGGAGTGCTTCTGAAGATAGGGTGGTGATCGTTATTCAAGCTGAAGACTTGGTGGTTTGGAGTAAGATGGAACACTTCCATAATTCTTTGTGGCTGCCCCACAAGTTGTTGGTGCTGCTGCTTTAAAACCTAGTAACCAGATCCAGCCAAATGAAAGTTAAGCTTTCATTTAAGTTACTTTGTTCACTCTTTCCACTGAAATCATGGGCTTAACTCCCACACTGAAGTCATTGGGACTAAGTCATACTGCACACATAATTAAAACACTTTAGTGACACATGTGTTGTTGTATGTTTACAAAAAAAATTGCTCTTCAAAAATAAGCATAGTGGCACCATGGTGGTGGATTCTATTCTTCTATTTCTTTGACAATTTGAGCAGGGGGAGTTTGCATTCTGAACTCCTCCAGTATGAACTGGCTTGCCATCCCTAGTCTGAAATCATACGGTTGAGATGTAAGGTTTACCAATAAAAGTTTATATGTTACTCTTGGCAGTAAAATGGTAAAGCACACCAATCCACCCACACTATGGTGCAGAATAGCTTTGCTAATGGATACATTTGCTGTTGGTAGCCATCCAGAGAACTTTGGTTTGTAGAGGGACCTATAATAATGTGTATGTTTAAATAGATAAAATCAAGCATTGCATCTTTCTCTTAGAAAGCTAAATTTGGCTTGTTACTTTAGAGCATGTGAAAAATGATATATCGTAGCTGTTTAGTATACCGTTTCTTTGTGATGTACTGAAGAAGCTCTTCCACTGTTGATAGAGCCAGTATGACATCTGTCATCTGTTATGACAGTATGTTATATACCTCCTTTCCTCCAAGGAGCCAAAGGCATGGTCCTTCTTATCTTCATTTTATCCTCGCAACCTCACAGGGAGGTAGCATAGGCTGAGAGTCAGGCCAAAGTCAGCCAGAGAGCTTCATGGCTTGAACCTTACTTTCCCTAGTCTTTGTTCTAGAAGTCATGGTTTGCATGTAATGACAGCCCAGAGTATGCGTTGTTGAATCTGGGGTTGTCATTACATGTGAACCCAGAACTGTGGGTTAACTGTGGGTGTTAACAACAAACAAACTGAATGGAGAACCTTTGTTTGATTCTGAACTTCATGTTGCTTTAACTCTGGGCTGTCATTATGTGCAAACTCAGAATAATGGGTTGTTCTTAACTTGTTTCACCAGGCAAGAATAGTAAAAACATGAGAGCAAGCAAAGCACTGCCTACTCTCTCTGCCAATACCACAGCACTGCAAAGACATTTGGGATATGGAGAGGTGGTGGGTAGAGGAAGAGGGAATCAAGCAACCCAGGAATTGGCAAAAAATCCAGCACTTTGTGATTGTCTGACTTGACGGTACATGGGGACACACTCAGTAAGGAGGGAACACATATTCTGGGTTGTAATTACTTGCAAATCTGGTCACTTTTCTCCTTCTACTCTTTCTAACAGAAATAAATTCAAGGCCTGTGGCTTACACACTTGATTTTTTTTTTGGTATACTACTCTGTATTTTTACACATTTTAATATTTCTATTCACTTGATAATGTGATAAGGCGAAACACGAAACTATAAAATAAATGCTCCACATTGTGAAGCAAACTACCTTTTTCTGTGACTAGAAATCAATGTTGGCATTACAAAAATTGCACACATGGGTCACACACGTAAGGGTAATGTGTTCCATTAGCAGCTGGTGTGTTGATTTCAAATTGCTTATTTAGGCAGGTCTTTTCACAGATGACAATTGGAGCAAATATAGCTTTTGCTGGAAAATCTATACCTGAGTAAATGTCAGAGTGACTGATACATCTCTGGTTTGCATTACCGTCATGTGTATTCTGCTTAGCCAATGAACTATGAAAATGCGATCAGGCATTGTTATACTGAAGGGGAATAAGCAACACTAAAATTAAATGTGGCTATGATAATGAGGAACATTTGAAAGACTCACACCAGCAGTATTAACGGCTGGATCCGGCGTTAGCCGTTTTAAAGTGGACTCACTGAAATCAACGTAACTTAAGTTAGTTTAATGGGGATACTCTAAGAAGGATCAACTCTGAATCCAGTTCTGTACGAATTGAAACTGGTTGTGATGATCTGCTGACGGAAGCAGTAGTCAATGGGATGTCCGCAGTATGCTCTGGAGGGTTGGGAAACTCCACAGTACATTTTCTGGTGCTGAAGAGGGCTTCAGGAAATTTATGGCAATGCTAGCAGATTTCTGCTAGTGCGAAATTGGATTTAATCCAAAATTTTGAGCATCAGTACCTTAGATGTTAGTCGGGTGATGAACAATATGAATGAGAGCATTCTAAGGATAATAACAGATTGGCTTTTCTGAAAGTTTTCCCATAGATCTCTATTCATTATTACAAGTGACTAACTTTTGCCTTTAAACTTTCGCTTTTGGCACTGCTTTTGACATAACTGAAACATCTCCAGCCTCCAGAAACTTCATCCAAATAAATTCTTCCTGGCTGAGGCTTCTTTCCTTTGTGTTTTGTCCCTTCTCATTTTGATTGCTATATACATTTTGCATAAATCTATACTGGATCATGGTGACAGTGGTGAAATCGCTATCATTGATTGACTGAGCTGGCATGAAGCTGGAATGTTCATAATGGATGATACTTTCAGAATAATTGCGTTTTTGCAGGACAACCTCTGTGAGGGTGGGGCAAGTGGTCAGTTTGCTTTGGATTCCTTCCTCAGCGTGGAATCAAAGATGCTGTAATAAAGCCATACTCTCCTTAGGTTGCTTTCTGCGCATTTTCCTGGATCCCTGCAGAACAATCTTGTACTGGGATAGGAGACAAGAAAAAGATGTTGCAAAGAAGAATGGAAAGTAGGGACAGGAAAGAATATGGAGTGGAAAACAGGATTGAAAGAGGACATGGGATTGAGACAGATGCTTATGTATTGCGTTGATATAGGAGGGTCTTTGGCCAGAAAGAAACACATTGGTAAAGGGTGCTTGGAGGGTTGTAGGTAATGGGCGCATGGGACATAGACTGCATCTTTCTGACTATAGCGTTTCATCCTTGCCAGTATTATTGGACTTTTTAAGAAAGTTTGGCCAGTTCTGGCTTTTAAAAGATGAGTCTTAATGTAGTCAGAATAGGCTATACCAGTCTTGGTGCAATCCGTATGACAAAGTTCAAGGGACATTGCTAGCACCAGGAAACTTTTAGTGATGGGTGGCTACAGCTGTGTGCTGTAATCACTTTCCTTTTAGGATTCCATGGTCTTTAATATTAGGGTGGGTCTGCTTTTCTGACAGAATGTTGCTCAGAAAGGTTCTTCTAGTAATCTTGGCAGGCATTCTGATTTGTTACTGAAAAGTTTCTCTGCTTGGATCTGTAGGCAGGAACACCATCTTATAATAGATCCTCCAAAAGGAGGTGCTCTTTTGCCTTCCCAAACTGGCTTTACCTACTGGAGAAGAAGCTGGGACATTAAGTGGTCTCCAGAGTTCACTGCATTTGGCTAGTTTTTGCCTTTACTTCTCTTTTAGTGACACATGAGAGTTAGTCATGGGAACCCTGCATAGACAGGTGAAGAAGGACATAATGAAAAGCAACCAACAGCATGCCAACATGGCTACTTAAGCATGAACATCAATTAGATTTTATTCTTCTAAAGCTTAAGAATAGAAAAACAACAGTGTCTGTTTTTTGTCTGGTTATATTTACGAATATTAAGCTAGCCATGGCATCTTCTTCCTAGGTCCAACATACGGCCCCATTATGCTGAATCAAGTCCACATGAATTCAAAATGCATACTTTTAGTCGTGTGACATCCTGCAGAGCCTGTCAGATGCTTCTAAGGTAAGTGTCAAGCAGCCTGAGTAGGAAATTTGCACTGAATTTGGTGGGAGGAATGAGTTCATTGAATAAATTAAGAAGTTACCTCTATGGCTAAAGCAAGGTTTCCTGCTTAAAACTGCCAAGACTTGAAATCCAAACTTAATCGAATAAACTGATAATTCAGTATTATGTGCTGGTGTATGAATGTCATGTTTGATAATCAACATGGGATTTGCAATTCTCTTTATTATTGGTGTAGAGAATGATGATCAGTGATTAGGGATGGACATTTATGGGCAAGGAACATGCATAAGCCCCATCCTTCCTGCTTTTCCTGCCATGGAACTCCTAGCTAAGAACAAAGTGGTCAGAACAAGGGAATGCAGAGGAGGGGTTCCGTACTACCTAAATTTCCCCCAAGAAAATATAGCAAATGAATAAATATGACTCAAGAGCTAAGTCATTATTGCATGTAAAGCATGGGTTGGTTCTTCAGGAACAGCAGTAATGAACAAAGTTCTGGTTGGGCGCACAGATTTCTGCACATGTATTTTCTCTCTGGATCCTAAGATTCTGTTTCATTCTTTCAGTTTCTTGTTTCAAACACTTTAGCTTGCTTTATTGCAGCATTCTGATGGCTTGCTTTATTTGCAGCCTGTTTTCTCCCCAAGTGGTCCAAAGAAATTCTTCTCCTGTGAATTGTACTATGGCCAGAACATAGAGAATGTTCTGTGAGTGGGAGGTGATTGGAAGGTTAAGTGTCCATGAAAAGATTCCTGTCAGTTAAAGGCAGTGGAAACGAGAAACGATTGACCCTCTTTCCTTGAACAGTTTGAACTAACATGTGGCTATTACTGAACATGCTACTCTTTATGGAATAAGAAGTGAAAACTCTGTTCAATATCCCCAAGATCCAGAGCAGCCTTTATTGTTAACGAGCCATAAAGTTATTTTTTCTCAGATAAGCCATTTCTTCTTCTTCATTGCCCCAGAAAGATTTATTGCACTTTTAAAAATGTATTTATATTGTAATATGTTCTCAGTTCCTGAAGGTAATTCAGAAATTGTGATGATTCAGTGCCTTTCTGTGAAAGCAAAATAACGATGAATCTGTATTCCACTCTCTTCCATGGGGAAAGCATTATCTGTGGGAAACCTTTCCACTCCAAATCTTCTGTTACACCACCATTTGTATTGCTTTCTGCATGCATTTCCTTCAAAGCCATAAATGTTGCTTTCCAAAGCGACCTTTGGAGAAAAGATTGCGTTCCACTGTGGGAAGATGCATCCGAGAAAAATGCCAATCACAGCTTCATTTTTACAACGTAAAAGCGTCACAGCTTGCATTTAGTCATGCATAGGTATTATCCTCATCCACAAAATACCCCAGCAGTTCTCACTTGATTTAATAACTCTGGTTATCACTATGAATGCATGTAAAAAACAGAGGTGATGATGATCATCATAGCCGACTTTTAAAAATCATCTGAATTTAATTCCCTTTTCCTTAAGAGAGAAATCATCTACACATATCCTGCACTGGAGTAAACTGTAGTGTAAGAAAACCATACCGATTAAACATTTGGATGCTTTGTACTGGATAAGAAGTCTTTCTGCATTTTGGTGTGTGGTTTCTGGCATTGCCAGTGTTCCAATGGCTCGCATGTGCTTTAGCTTTCAGTGATCAATTGCTCATGTTAATATAATCTTCACACAATTTCTTTATGGGCTTGGATGGTGTGGGAAGGAGTTTGGAGCACCACCAGGATATGGAAAATCTGGACAGTATCCACTTCCTTTCCTGCCCCTGGAAACACCCCTTTTATGCTCTCTCTCAGGTCAATTGCCTGACCATGGAGAAATAGCTGGCACAGTTTGTTTTGTGTCATCTGCTGGATGAGGAAAGGGGGATTTAAGGATAGATCCAAGCTCCTTCCCAACCTGGGAACTGGGAATCCAGAAAACCTTGTGACCCCCTCAGTGCTGTTGCAAACATGGTGTTGCTCTGTCCATGACAGAGTTTACTGAACTTAGTTTATCTTACTTCTGTCAGAGGGAACCCTACCTAGATTAGATAACAGCGGATAATAATCAAACTACCTCTGCAGGTACCTTTCCTTGCATTTCCTGCAGCTAACCCATCATCAAGGGCTGCTGTAACTTCATCCCAATATGTTTTTCCTTGGTTTAGTTCAAGTGACCTCTGCAAAATCTAAAGGGCTGGGACCTTTTCATTCAAGTGCAATGGCTGGTCTATGAAATGCAGAATACACATTCCTAACCTGTCCCTTTGAAATCTCTTTTAAGCACATCATTTTGTTATATACAGAAGGTCACTCTGGAATTTCCCCCACAATCTTACTTTATATTACAGGGGGACATTTTATCAAGGCTACTTATGTTCGAAGTGTGGAGCTGGAGTCCACAAAGAATGTCTGGGAAGGCTAGACAGTTGCAGAGCTAATTTCAGTGGTAAGTCATTTTTATTGTTTGGGATACAAGTTTTAATTAGGATATAAAACTTGCCAGTTATAATTAAGGTTTAATTTCCCTCTAATTTGTGTTCATTGTATCACAGATATTTTTGCAGTGGTCATTTATAAGCATAATTATAATTGCATTTTGAAGTCTTATGATAGGAAAAACAAGAGTAGAAGAAATTCTCTTCGATCCACCAGAATTTTGGCGGGGGTGTAAGGCATCACATAACCATTTCCGCAAACCCAAGGGAGCCTTTGTTTTTCTAACGGCTCAGCCTCTCATAGCCAACTGAAGAGGACACATTGCAGATCTCTGTTCAAGGGCACCCAGGTCAAAAATCCCAGTGGTCTTGCCTAAACTCTTATGCAGTAACTTATATCGAGGACTGAGCTAGCAGTGCTAGCAGAAGCTCTATGCTTTTTCCAAGAAAAGAGGTCTTTGGGTGGTCATAAGATAAGGGACTAGATAGAGCTTCTGCTAGCACTCTATGCTTTGGCAAAGCTCCTTTTAGGTTCATTTTATCATAGTTCTTATCCTGATTATTCTTCATGGTTACATAGCATCTTTAGTGGTTAGCCAATCTTTAGTCTATTGAGCACCATCTTGGTTGCCACAGTGTTGGCTCTACTGGAAACCCTTATGATAATGTTGGTGTTCTCCCACTCAACAGCTCCATTACGGCACAAAATTCATGATCTAAAATAAGCTCTTATATCTTAAAATAATACTTATTAGAAGTTAGTGCTACATACATAAATTCCTTTAGTAGTACAATAAGAATAAAAGAGAGGATCTAGAGAAAAGCAGAAATGATCAGAGATACTTTAAAAGAAATTTAAGTTTGTGTAATGGTGGGCAGTATTGGGAAGATACATTCCCTGCTGTCATTCTTGTTGATAATTTCCAAAATGTGTTGAGTTCTTTCTGCTGGTTTTGTCCAGAGCCATTCAAATATAATTATTGGTTTTCACGGGCTTGTTTTTTGATTTCATAAACACACATGTATGGAAACAAATTGTTAGAATGTAATATCTTCCTTAACTTCTGGTGAGTTAAATGTGTAAGTAGAACACAACAGAAATATACAGTTCAGTTTGTAGGTCTGCCCTGTAAATTTTTACTACTCAATAGGTTCTCAATTATGGTTAGCGCTAATTGTATGCTTCCCTGAACCAAGTTAATATCTCAAACATATAGTGAACCCATGGTTTGGCTTATCAAACTAAACTGCTCCCCCATAGGAAGACACCAAAAGGTTTTGCTTAGCATTTTACGTAAGGTGCAAACTAAGCATGGAAGAAAACATTTTGCAAACCTATTTCAATTAATGCATTCATATTCTAGTTTTTTCTCTGGCCTTAAGCAGGGTTTCAGTATAACACTTAACCATGAAATAAGTACTCTGAAATAGTGAGGTGCTATAGATCAATAGTGATTTGCAAGTACCATTCCATGACAATTTGTCCAAACTTGAAAACCTTCAAGTGATTTTTTTGAGCATTCAGGAGGAATACTTGAACAATCTCAAGTGCAGTGCCTTCTCTACCACTTCAACAACCTTCTCAAATGGGGGGGAAAAAGCCTTGACTTGTACTAGAAAAGCGATCCTGCAATTCTTGTGTAGTAGCAAGAGCTCCATGTTGCTTGTTATTGCTTTCCAGAAATTATGTTTAGTTTGCTAGGGGAAATTGTGAGATGATTATGGAAGAAGGCTGGGTAGTGGCAGCTTACGAATTCTGTTTCATGTCGGGCCCAGCTCATACTGGGCAGGACCCAATCAAAACGGTGCAAGAGATTTTGGGGGTGAAGCCAACATCTTTGCGGTAGTTTACATTTTGAGTTCTCCCATTCAAAGTCTTGCATCATCCTTGGAAATAAATAATGATTCCAATATTATACTTTCCCCTGTCTTTAAGACACGGTTATATATTCTCTTAAAATAGCACTAGGCCTTTGAGTGTAACTATACTCTGCCGCTTTTTGCACAAAGTTATATTCACATTAAAATAAACATTTCTCAGAAACATTACATGTATAGCATTTTATTATTATTTTTACATGCCTTTCACTTTTAGCCAGATGAGATGCCAGAAAAACACTATATTTTGCAAAAAAAAAAAAAAAAAGGCATTGATTGAACCAACAAATCTGTGTTCATGGTTAGGTCATTTAAATACTGTTGTATTACTTATTTTAGGAAATCAAGGCAGAGGTTTTAAATAAATTTGGCAAAGAACATTTTGTATCTTTGATGTTGTAAAATGATAATTTATTCAGTTCATTAATCTGCGAAGTTGTCTGTGTGTGATCTCTGCCGCTAGCAATTGGACAGAAATTGTTTAATTATGATTACCTCCTTACAAGGACTTGAGAAGATTGTGCAAATCTTAATATAGTTAATAGGGTGATGAAATGCAAAGGAGGACAGGAGCCTTTCTTCTTCCTCTTCTTCTTCAGCTCTTCCTCCTCCTCCTCCACCACCACCACCACCACCTTTCTTACATTGCAGTTATATTCCACCCTTTTTCCTCTAGTGAAGAAACCAAGATGGTACTACGTAGCTCTCTTCCGCTCAGTGAGCTTCATGGTCAAGTGAGGAATAGAACCCAGATCTCCCTGATTCCCAGTCCAACACTCTAAGCACCACACCAAGTTGGTTTGCATACCTTTTTGGTAGTTGGGAAGAAAGAGATGGTTCTGCAAGAGAAAGGAGATATTTCTGCCTGAGTTGCTTCTTGTGCACAGCTATTCAAGTGGCAGGGACCCTGTCTCCCTTGCGTATCTGGTCACCCTGTTTGTTAATCAGGCCTTTCTGGTGGTTAGTATGAATAATTTTGTATTGCAGTCCTTGAAATTACAGTAAAATGTAGACAACTGGAAAAATGCAGCAGGATGCTTACATTCCATGATTTTAGAAAATCCATACCTAGTTCAAAAAGAAGTTCAATACGCAATGCTTGCGTAAGGCATCAGAGTCTTTGGCAAGGACACCAAAGTCCCCAGCATGGTGGCTTGCCGGGAAGGGAAGTGCAGGCCAGTCTCTGGTATATTTCAGTGCCAGGTCTGCAGATGGCCAGCAAGTGGAACCGGTGTAGCAAGCTCAGGTGACCCTTGGGCCCAGTAAGGTTCCACCTCACCCTGCCTAAGGTTCCACCTCATTTGGAGCAATGTTGTTGAGGTGCAAACTTACCTGCTCTCATCCTCTTTGCTGAAGTGCTGACTTGCAGCCTGCATGGTCTGAAGCAGGTACCAATCTGACAGCAGATGTTTATACAAAAAGAAATAATAGAATTGCTTCTGAAGGAGAAATGAAACCCTTGGTTGTTACTGTGAAATCAGCACCATGACTTCGTCTCAACCAGCCAGTGCCCATATTCTGCTGAAACAAGAATGGGGAGTCACAGGTTCTGCAGTCTGGTGATAGTTGACTCTGTAGGGTATGACTGTGAATAACTCTGCACAAGAATGAGCAGAACCCTTTCCCTGAACTTATAATTAGGTGAGGGAGAGTGCCTGTTTCTTGGCAAAATTTAATCCTACAGAAATTGAAGGAGACATAGGAAAGCAGAAGTTGATTATTACCTGCAGTCAATTCATATTGGTTATGCTAAAATTAAAGCAAAAAATCACCACCAAAACAGTAGAGGATGAGATTTGCAGTGAACCTTTGGCATTTTCTTTTTCTTTGCAGAAGAGTGAATGTTTTTTGCTAGAAGCTGAAAAAAAGTTCTAAATATCCAGCCTTTGTGGCTGCTGTGTTTTAGGGCCAATCTAACTTTGTGCAGAGGTAAATCTGAGATTTTCCACACAGAAGGGAGCTGGAGCCAATAATTTTTGATGTACCTGTCTGCCTCTTTCACATTTACATGTTTAGGTGTACATTTAAAACATCTGAAGGGGAGACCTCTAAAATGTAATGTGTGAAGTGGTCCTTAGCCAACCTTTTTTTTTTGCTTCCCCGGTTTTGATGGAGTAGATATAGCAGAAAACTAGGACCAGTTCAATAATAGATATGCATTTATTTTTGTGGAACCAAGTTTTTAAACATACTTCTAAAATGTGTGCATGCACATTTTTACTCTTGTCCCTTGAGGAAATACTGAATTTTGCCACATGAATATCTAAGATATTGCACAGTGGTGCCTGTCTGGCTACTGTTAAGAGATGGATGGCTAGAAGAGTGGTGTGATCCAAGAAGCAGGTTCTTCTGTTCTGAAGACCAGTTTGGGCTTGACGCTTTCAAAGTGGTCTTTTTGGCATCAGGGTGTCAGTTAGGTAATCCGCTGGGAATAAACTTGGAAACCTGCCTAGAAAGAACCCAATCTAGCATGTGCATTACATCATTTGTCTTGACAAAGAGTGCGAGTTATATTTCATTTCATGATAAGCTATTCAAACAAAATGGAGGGCAGGCCCACTCTTGTCATGCCACTCTGAGTACACATTAAAAAAATGCCCACAGTCGAACTTTGTCCATAGGAGGATCGTGTTATGATGTGCAAGTGATTCTTGTTTCATAGCCCCCTCCCTGCCCCCAATCATTTCTTTTTATGACCAGTAGAATTGCTTCTGCTGCCCTGAGTAGTGGAACATCCAATAATAGGATGAGTTTCCTTCTGCAAAATAATGCTTTGAGATTTAGGCCGCAGTCCTAAATCTGCTTGCTAGAGTACATTGGAATGAGCATCGTGGGATTCAGTTTCAAGTGAATGTGGATAGGATTGTTCTCTTAGAGGTGATGCTTTGTACCATCAGTTGATTTACATATACGCAGGTGGAGTGGGGGGGGGGGAGAAGTAGGCAGCATCAGGCTTTAAAGAAGCCCTGGTTCATCAAAAGCCACAGGGGAGACTTACAGCTACAAGATGGCTTCACACCAATTAGCTGCTAAATGTTGGGGTTCTTCTTCATTCTCTGCTGAAATTTCTATTTCTAAAATACCTTTTTTTATAGGCATACAGGCAGAGTTGATGGAGAGCATTTAGGAATGTAGAGGGGCTATGTGTGTCCTACAGAATATTGGTCAGTGACCTTAAAAGCTGGTTCTGAAATCAGAAAATTCTTGGCAACACATCCTATCCATCTGCACAACTCAGAACAGCTTCTTCCTCTCTCTCTGGTTAATTGCAAAACCACCCGCTTTATTTCCCTTTCCACACTCAAACTGTGCAAATTTCATTCTGTAGGCACCTCTTATGCTACCATCCCAACAAGAAGGCCTCAACTACTCATTAATCAGTATTAGTTCTTAGCAGCCAAGCTAGGCCAGTATGAAATCCAAGCCACTGAGTAGCAGAACAGCAGGGTTCACAACAAAAAGCAAGGAATTGCCTTCCAGAAAAAGATATTTGGCTATGAGGCTACAGATGCTAGGATTGCAAATAGAACCACATTTTGCTACATTAGAACTTCCATAGTCAGCAATTCCATGACTTTGTTTATAATCTTTGTAAATACAAAACTTGCAAATTTGCTTTGTGAAATATCCTCTGGGTGGGTGGGTGTCACTGTGATGGGAGAGATGGTATGTTCCAGGGGTGGCCAGACTTCCTCAACAGAAGAACCACATATGGTAAATGTCAGATGTTCGTGAGCTGCAAGTGTGTACCTATGGGCACCTGTGGATGGCAGTGACAAGCGGGTGCCCGCAGCACCTTGGGTGGTGAGCAGCAAGCCACAAAATAAACTCAAAGAGCTGTACGTGGCTCCCAAGCCTTGGTTTAGCCACCCCTGGTATATTCTGTTTTTTCCATTCAGCCTTAAAAAAACAAAAAGTCTGCACACACAAGCACAAATAGTGCCCATCAGTTAAATCTTCGACTTTAGTTTCTTTCTTTTAAATGCCAACATAAAAAAGACAGCCCTGTGCATTGAAATGGCTACATTATGGTTGGTTCACAGGTACATATCCATCCCTTGATCTCTTACCATTTGGGTTTCAGTGACTGACAGCTCAAAAATGATTTTGTGAACTGGACGATGTAAAAAAAATAACTAGCTAGGATCTAAAGAGGTTTTTTTTAAAGGCAGGTGCAAAGGCTTGGGCCAAAACACACACACACATACACACAACACACACAGACACACAGCTCTGGCATGTCATTACCTGGTTTTGAAACTTTCCATAGAGGTGAGCTGCTATTTGATAAGCACAGATTCGAGCAGCCTGGGATGTGCAGGGCTAGCGGTACCATTCCATGGATCCAGGCCATGTGCTTGAGGGTAATGAAAAGTATGAGAGTTCTATTTTGGGGTCTGATCTAGGATGGTTTATTTGTGTGTGCAAGTCAGTATTTGATGATGCAGTTGCTAGCTGATGATTGTGCATGTGTGGACCAGCCCAAAGCCTTTTTGTGCTTTATTTAAAATAGGGTAAATTACAATGTGACATGTTTCTGCCTCTGGAAAAAAGCAGGCAGAAATTGCAAAATTTGCACTGCAATATTGTGCAATGCAGAAGCTGCTAATACCTTTTAGATATATTTCTCTTGGGAAGAGGAACTGCTCTGTTCTTTATTGAAACCTGGATTCAACCTGCAATGCAAATGTGACATTTGAAAAGGCTCACCTCGTTCTCTATTTCAGAAAGTTTAGGCGATCTTTGGTTTGGAAAGCTACGTGACACTGAGTTAAGCGTAAAGCTGTTTATTGCTGTTCAGTGCTGCCTAACTTGAGCCAATAAAACTAAGCGAACACGGCTTGCAAAATAGCTAGCTGAGCCCTAGGGCTGTTGGAACATAAAACAGGTATCAGCTAGCAAAAGAAAGCAGTTCCGTGTACTAGCTCTGTACCACAAGCTAGGAATTATCACTGAACAGAACAAACTTTCTTTCACTGACCATGCCAATTTTTACATTTGTTCCAGAACATGGGACCCTCAAGCATGAGGTAAGTGTGCTTTTTCATACTTATTTCATGAGCTGTTTAAAATGCCACAGTTTTTGTGCATATTTGTGTTAGCAAAATAGAGGCACCCCTCTTGCTTCTTTCCTGTAGCCAGTAGCGTAATTTCAGGCTAGTTCAGGCTTTTTTCTTGAACTCCTCCTGCAGACTTGGATTAAAAATAGAGACAAAGGATTCAGGCTATTCAGGATCAAGCATTTCCAAGTCCAGTTGATTTAAATGAGAAAGGTGTTACTCATGTTCTTAACTTGCCCATTAATAGCAATAGACTTGAACACGTGTAATTTTGGTTAATTCATTATCTAAGTTCATAATACATTTCAGGGGAGTTGTATACTTTATTTTAAACTCCCTTGGTGTTCAAGGCATTAGCAAAGAATGTATAACAAAACCAAGCAGGGTCATTCTCTTTAAATTCAAAATTACGGGCCATCACATGATTTTGGAGAGGAATTATAAGTGATGCACATTTCCATAACTTTCTGATGATGAAAGTAATGTATGATGGCAAAGGTAAGCAAGTTCTCAATCTGTGTGCTGCAAAATGTGCAGCTAAATACTGACTTATGAAGCTGAATCTTTGAAGTAATGGAATTACTTGACAGATTTTAAGATTATGGCTGCCCAGTAATGGTAAACGGGCCAATGTTGGATGAAAAGATGTGCATTTCAGCAAATGGCATTATCTTGGTAGATTTGTTTGAAGGAGCCCAAGGTTACTTTTCTTGGCTTTGAAAAACAGCCAAGTATTCACTCTGTTGCATAGTTTTATATGGCTTGAGAAAGAGGAGGCTGAGTTAAATATAGATACTGAAAAGGCTCCTTGGACCCCATTGCTTAGCTCTTCATTTTTTCATATCCTGCTGCAATTGAGAGCAATGCTTACCCTTTCTGAAGCGTTCTTCATTTGCATTTGGAAGGATTTTTGGTGAATTGGGATCTTAAAGTCTGGTTCATAATGTGAATTGACCCCTAAGTTGTGTTTGCTGTGCATTTTCCAGTGAAGTGGCAACAGAGGAAATTTACTTTGGCTTGGCAATTAATTCCTGAGCAAATCAAGCTGGCATTCTGAAATCTTCAATAACTGGAATATAGCTGGAAATGCTTGTCCTTTGGGGCAGCTTCTGCCTTGCATTGTGATGCTGTTGGAGCACGGGATTGAAATCATGACATCCTGCATGGGGTAGAGGGAAATGGTCAGATGGCCATGGAGGTGCAGCCGGCATGGTCACTAGTGGGAGTTCCCATGTCCTGGAAAGCTCTTGTGCTAACCAGTCAGTTAATCATTAACAAATATAAAGGCCATCAGCACATGAAGCTACTGATATCTGGGCATTTGACTCTTCACCTGTATGGTACTTTGTTTGCTAAGAGTAAAGTACGTGCCATGGGAGTATACATTGCTCTTTTCTGGTTCCTCTATAGAAATCCAATTGGTTAGTCAGTTCAGTCATTTATGAATTCCTTTTAGAGTTTAAGAACGCACAAGTGGAAGAGTGTTCTGTGTTTTCCAAGGAGAATATGGGATTTGAAGTAAAGGGTGGTTGTTGGTAGGGCTTCAAGACAGCAGGGAGACATAAGTTGCAGAAATGTGGTTGTACATTCTTCTTGCTTATGTGATGTTGAGGCTGTTGGGTGTCCTTCCTCTTAAAGTATCCCATTGTTATAGACATCTGTGGAAGAGATTGGCCAAAGCTGGTCCGGTTGTTGTGCAGACTGAGTTGGACTATCTTAGGCAGCAAAATTTGGGTTAATGTTAAAGGACAACAAAGTATTAGTTTTGCAGATTAATATCTTACTGCTTTTGTAAGCCGTACAGTTTATGCATTCTAATGTTCAAGTGGAGTTAGTGGGCAAACAGGGAAAACAGATAAGAAGGTGATTATACTATTTTAATTCATGTAGACCACACCACTGGGATATTCTTCTTCAGCTACCATCATGTCTTGGTGGAATATTCTGTATGTTATTTTGAGAGCATTGAGCTAATTGAATGGTATAGAAATGCCATAACTAAGTAAATAAATAAATGCCTTGGACTGTCTTTGAGGCCTATAGATTCCAAGTGAAGCTTTGCTTTTTCAACATTATTTTCTTTAGTTGGTATTTTCAGAAAGCCACTCCACAAACAGATAAACATTATAGCTTGTTTGGTTTAATGTGGCTTGGTTGTGTTCCTTTCCCATGACATGGAACCTATCGCTGCTGCAGACAAGATAGCCACAGTTCAGTTGGATAATTAACCCTAGCTAGGTGAAAACGAGGATTTTCATTATTATAACCTGCTCTTCTACTTTCCCCTTCCTCCCAACCTTACTGTAGTGATTAATAAAATCTTTAAAGCCAAGTTTCTTTTGAATTGTGTTCATTGACTTATCTTATGTAACAGGTAAATTAAAAAGGGCTCCCGTTTCTTCTTAAAATTGAAGCTTGTTTCTGCCTCTCTAACAGTAGAAATTATGTTTTATTATAATTGGCATTTGCAGCAGCTTCTTATGCCTTTATGTGGTCACTTGGATCTTCAGTGTAAATGAAAACCGGAGCTTTGGAAGCATTCATTTTAAAGTAAAAAATGGTTTTACTTGTGTGCAGATTAGGAAACTGTAACTCTTTTTGGTGAGCTCACAGTCAGAACAAAAATCCAAAGCAGTAGTTTCTGTGAGGAATGGATGTCTCCCTCACTTTTTTTTAACAAGTCACGTTCTTTTCTCAAGTGGGCAAGAGGCCTATATAACACATATCTTTTTTCATCTCCAAATAGTATTGTTAACCATTCCGTGTCTGCATATGTCTTCCAGTAAAACAAACCAAAGCAAAAAATATCCCCCCACCTCCCCTTACATGGTGAGCTTTGTCAAGGGTATCTGAGATGAAGCCAGTCTCTTTAAAGCAGGGGCTGGAAATCTGGTTCTCCAGATGTTGTTGGACCCTTAACATCCAGCAGCCGCAGCCAGCATGGCTAATGGTCAAGGATGAAGGGAGCTGTAGTTTAGATTAGGAAGGTCACAGGTTTATCTCCTGTGCATGAAAGTGCTGGACTTAGCGAGTGAGTGGGAAGAGAGACTCCACTAGCGCTTTGTTTCAGGTAGCAAATTGTCTTGGGAGGCAGGTGTCCTCAACACTGCTTACTGAATTGTCAAAAGAAGAAGCATGAATAATAATATTGGAGAGTGGAGGGTTTCTTTTTAATTCGTCTCTAACTTGTGCTTTTTCAATACACAGAAACGACCAAATGGAATTCGAAAGAGCTCCAGACACGTGGATCCAGGTTTGTTTTGCTTTTTTCATCATTAGAATTTTATAATTCCAACAGGAGAATGAAGATTCGGAACACATTGTCAGGCAATTATTTTTACCTTTCCTTTCCTTTGGGGGATTGGATCTTTTGAATACTGGCACTCCAACAGCCTGATCTAAAGAGCCAGTTCAACAAGAGTACTGAGAGAGAAACTGCCGTGCAGTTTGATTGTATAAATATATTGTGCAGTGGTGTGGAATGATGGACAAGATAGAATAACCTACCCAGTTTCTTACCACATTATTTGTAGTGGTTTCCTTCCTGCTAGAAGGAAGATTGCTTGTGTGCACTGTTGTAGCAGCATTTTCTTGTCTGGAGGGACTACTTCTATGACAGCGATGGGCTGTTTGAAATCCTGCAGCTGATGGCACTGGATGCCTTTGTCTGCCACAATGGAGAGCTTGGCTCAGAGTGTTGTCTCGCTGTCTGTGCAGTGCTGCCAGGCAGAGTAGGCAGCAGTGGAAACCTTGCTTTCCCTTTCAGGCAATCAGCAGAGCCTTGACTTACAGGATTGGGGACCTAGATCCAGACCATGTTGACAGTCATATGAGTAACCAAACTCCTGGGGTGTGTCCGTCCTGCTGCTTTGTTTTTACAAGTGGCACTTTGTTTGCATACCTAGAAGCCTCTGGGCTTTCTCCTAAGCAGCGCAACCAGTTTTAAGCTTGGAGTGCAACCTTGCAAGGCAATGTGTGCTCTTGGCAGTTGTTTTTCCTCAAGACCAAAAGTAGCAAGAGCCTTGCGGTGTGGGTCCCCAGATGGAATGCATTTTAATGTGCATGTGGTTAATTTTAAATAATTTCCTGTGGCATGGAAGCTAGTTCTTTACATTTGCAGTTTTTGAAAGTGTTTATGGATATACACATGGATTGCAGTTCTTTTGTGGGGGCTGCTGCTAAAGATTAATCATGGAATCATAGAATAGTAGTGTTGGAAGGGGCCAGAGGGCCATTGGGTCCAACCCCTGCTCAGTTCAGGACTCCAGGATTGTTCCTTTATTTATGTAATTTCTGTACCACCCAACAGTCAAAGCATTCATTGATGATGATGATGGATTATGAGGCTGATCAGCTACTTGGCTGGAACTACATTTTATATAGTCAAGACATGCTTTCAAACTCTGATTCCTAATGCCGTGTTGCAAAACAAGAGTGGGAGCTTGAGATCTGTGGGGGTAGTTGGGTGCTCAACCTTTTTCCTATGTTCCCCTGCAGCTCCCTCCCAGGTCTGCTTAGCAGCCCCTTGGCAAGGGATCCAGACCCGTGCTTGTGACTAAGAAGCAGTGCCAGGGTTTGGAAAGTGACGTGATATTCCAGGTCTTTGTCTAAATAAAAAAGCATTTCTGAGAATTCTTCCTCTTCAGCAGTCTAACGATTCTTCTCCCCCTTGCGGTAATATTAACTTAATGGTAAATGCATGAGGTGAGCTTTTATTTGGGTGGTGGTGGTCCTTTTATGAGTTCTTTCTCACAGTTTAATTTTGAGGGATTTGGATACAAGAGCAAATGGAGTTGTGAGATGTTTCTAAATGTGGCAACTTGAGAACAGTTTGCCTTTCATTTGAAACCGTGGTTGCAGCCTAGAACCAAATAAGTGGGAAAACGTATAGGTAGGAAAATAGATGGGTAGCTGGGTTGCAGATATTCCCCACTGCTGAACGGCATGGGCACAAGTGCAAAGGGTTAAATTGCCTTGACTAATCACTCCATGAAAAAAAAGTCACCCATTAGAGCATCTTGGGAGAAAGATCGCTGCTGCTCAATGGCCCCAACATCCTGTGTCATACTGAGGAGACTCAAATGTAGAGCACAGAGGAGAAGGCAGAAGAGGGTAACTCCTAATCTGGCCTGCAGATGTTCCCAATCTGGCCTTCAGGGCCATCATGGGTTCCTGAAGAAGTTGGGATTGGACCCACATCTTCTAGAAGTATATCTGTTTTCTTTGTCAGCCTGAGATCATGGCCAGGCCCCGCTTTGCCCATGCAGCCTCTTCTACATTAAGAAAAACTCTGTGCAGGCACAATGTCCATAGGTGAACTGGTGGCCAGAGTGCTCCAGCTGCCACTTGCATCCTGCCCACTTTGCTCTGCGTGTCCTTCTCTTTCTCTGTGCAGGGAACATGAAAGATAAGTAAAACTGGATTGTGCAGCTTCATCTGCCCTGTAGCCTCTTTCCAAGGGGGGAAGGTGGAAGGCAGGAGAAGCTGGTCCTTCCAGAGCAAGGGTACAGGAGTTTCAATGGCTAGATTTTCTTTCCCTTTAAATCTGAACGCACAGGTTGGTGTGTGTCACTCACACTTGGATTGTGTCAAGTGCATGACACTGGGCAACAGGAACTATAATACGTGGGTTTCTTTTAACCAGATCTATGGCAGCCGGGGAAACTTTTGTCCGGAAAATGGTGCTGGAAGAAAGGGCTGGACCTAAATTGCACAATTGCTATGTGTTCAGAGGTTTGTGGTAGTCACCACCTGCTCATTCTCCCACACTGGAAGAGTATGAGTGGTAATTTTTTACCCTTAAGGGTTTGTTTTCTCCATCTATGGGAACTCTGATCGTTCGATAGTCCTTAAGTTTCTTACATGTTTAGCAGATGTTTGGGGGTGGAGGTGGGGAGAATGGTGTGCTCAGGTTGGAATTAGGTGTATCAGAAAGAGAGAGATAGTAGGATGATTGAGGTAAGTGAATTGGCCAACCCTGTCTCTTCTGGTTCTTCCTCCAGCCTTGGGAATTCAGAATGGCTTGTCGGTTCCCTGCTCAGCCGACTCTAGTGAAGGGTAGAACTGGTTGTTCTACTTCCCCACCCCACTACAGTCTAGGCCAGTGATGGTGAACCTTTTAGAGACTGTGTGCCCAAACTGTAAAACAAAAACTACTTATTTATCGCAAAGTGCTGACACTGCAATAAAGCCTGAATACTGAGGTTTTAGTTTAAAAAAAACAACTCGCAGCCAGTCCAAGCAAATATAAATATATCCTTGGCAGTGCACTGACCTGCTATGTGAAAGCTCGGACGAGTCGCGGCTAATGAGTTGCAGCTCGTGACATCATTGCCTGGCACCACTACTCCTTTCCAAGCATGCATGTATCCCCTGTGTGCACTGTTATCTGATGCTCGGCTGCTGGGACGATGCTGTGGTGACTTGGCTCGTGTGCCGACAGAGAGGGCTCTGCGTGCCCGCTGTGGCACGTGTGCCATAGGTTCGCCACCACTGGTCTAGGCATTCCTAACTCCTGAAGAAAGGAGCCAGTTTGGCATTTATGATTGACACTTGGCTAGATAATGCTCTGAACCATGTGTTGTCCCAACGTTTTCCAGCTGGGTTCTCGGCTCTGTGTTAAGGCTGTCCTGGCAGATGGAGTGGCCGTACCAACTTGCCTACTATTTATTCTGTCCCTTAGATTGCCTTTCTTGGTCCACTTTCTCCAAATTACTTGCACAATTTTTCCTATGGATTTTTTAACACCAAGAATTTCTTCTCTTTAGGAGCCATTCCCCTCCCCACTGTAAATATTTCCTAGTTGGTACCTCTTGCTAACTAAGCAAGCTTCTCCAACAGAGACTTGCTTCACTCTTTGAGAACCTAGACTATTTTTCCTTTTTGGCCTCACTTATTTTTCTTTCTTTTATTGCCTGATGCCAAAGAGTAATGGTACCTCTTTACCAAATTCATGTTGCTGAGCACAACAGGTATCCAACTCCATGGGTCCATGACAATAGTTATTCATGGTGTCACAGAGGTTTCATTCCAGTATTGTTTTTTAATAGCTGTCATTATACTTATGGTTCCTGAAGCTCAAGTTCTTTGATGCATCCATTCTTGAACTGTGTTGTGAGGGTTGCAAAATTCCAAAACAGAACAGCAACAACAAAAGAGAACAACCTAAACCAAATTGACCCAAAATCTGGGACTACCTCCCATCATTACATTTAGCCCTAGAAGTTAGATGTTATCTTTTTTGTGCCTTCAGTTGCTGCTGGATACCTAAGTAGATGACTCAACAACAGCAATTAACCAGGTCTGTGGTTTCCCCATATGATTTGCTCATTTTCCATCAAGGCTCCTCTTTCATGCTTGGAAATACTGTTTAAACTGTGGCAGTTATGCCAGTTACATTGCCTCTCCTCCCAAGAATGCATTAATTCTCAGTGCCAGGGCAAGATCCGGCAAGCTTCATGCCTGCAACAAACTTCCTAAAATCCACCTATTACTAAGTGACCCAGATGTCCTCTTTAATGTGATTTGCCTGGGTTGCTGTCTAATTCACTCCACTAACATGTAGGACAGTGGAAAGATCCAGGCTCTTCAAAGGCATGTGATGATGCAATGTTAGGTTTTTATTCTGAGGCGATTATCTCAAGATTCCAGCAGGTTGGGCTTTGAAATTGGATAGCCAGAGGTTAGGCAAACGGAATTGGATGGACAGTCAGAATGACACACACATTTTGCAACTAGATATTGTTGCCTTATAGCAGAAGTTAGAAATATAGAAACAGCGCGAGTCAGAAGGGGTCTCCTGGGGCATCTAGTCTGACCCCTGGCCCCAGAGGGCTCTGCTCATGACATGCCTACCAGGTGCATGTCCAGCCTATCCTAAAATACCCTCACACTGTTGGGACTTCAACCACCTCCTGTATGGAAGCTCATTTCATACACTTCCATTCCTAACCATCAGGAAGTATTTCCTGGAATCCGCCCTAAATCTTGGTTCCGTGAGCTTTGCTCCATTGGCATGTGTCCTGCCCTCCACTGCAGGGGGAGAAAGGAGGAAGAGGAGAAAGGAGGAGAGGAAAGATGGGCGGTTTCTGCAGGCTGAGAAGTGGACTTGTAGAAAGGTAGGATAAATGGGTGAATGTATCATAATGTGGATGAAGGCAGCAAGGTCGTGCTGCAGCCTTTAGTGAAGTCGAGTTGGGAGAAGGTGACAGTGGAAAAATCAGCAGCTGAATGCCCTTGTTGCTCGGATGCATA